GAGGGAAAACTTGATGCTTTATTCCTTAGACAAAATTTGTACTGAAATCAGTTTGAAATCACTGAGATTTCTGATTAAGTAAGTTTTAAAAACGACCAGAGATGAGGTGTGGATAAACTGTCAGTGAAATATGTTGACCTGTCTTCGCAAATTTTATGCTTTCTTCTAAGAGCCAGTATCTGGACTTTATTTTTCCTTATTTTTTCTTCCTATTCTGTGGTTTATTTTGACATGTTAGCTAACAAATTCCACCGTTCAAAGAAGCACATAATTTGTCCATAAACTTTTGCAGGCTGTTATTTGTACTACGTCATTGACACTTCACAAAAGTAATGCAAGGCTTTATAGTACCACAGCTACAGATAGAATTAAAAGATTTTTATTTTCTGATATACACACCTTTGAGTTTTTAATTACTTTACTTATTTTAGTTATAATGCATTTTTGTCTGAATTAATATTGAGAAATAATTTCTTAAAAATTCAGTGTAAGTTTGAAAGTGAGAAAATGTTATAGCCTTCTAGTTTCAGCTCGTTCCTTTAATATTACTAATTCAAAACCAAATTGAGGAAAAATATATCACTTTTTATTATTTTACACTGTAAAACATCCTAAAGTCCTTTAATGGACTTTTATCCTGTGTCTGTATGTGCTGCACACAGACAAGTTTTCTTTACAAAATTTTTGTATAGTTTCAATGGAGGAATCAATACTTTTTTAGGTAAAGCACGATATTTTCACATTTATAATGTGCTGTGAAACAAAATTTCAGGGACAGATGGTGGTCCTATGACAAGGTAATGCGTGAATTCCAACCAATATAGCACTTGAACTCTGAACTTTTTTCAATTCCAGTAGTAAATACTGTGGAAAGAAGATGTTTGGCTCAGAAGGTAAAGAAGCAAATGTTACAGTGCTCCCAGTAGGCTCTTTCTGACCTTTTGAAAATAATATTACAGCAAGGACTAGATGGAGCCCCATCCTCCCTGACTTAAAAAATGAAAGAAGACAGTTCAAGAATAAGACACTATTACCTCCAAGCAAGAAAAAACCTCAAAGGAAATACTTTCAGGGCATCATAATATGTAAACAGCACCTACCTCAATCTGATAACCCTTCATAGTTCATCTGTGATAATACACTGTGAATTTTATTATTAAAAAAATGACTGCTTCCTTGAGTGCTCATCTGACTTTAAACAAACTTGTAACCTTCACGGGTAAACATATGAGAATCTTATTCTGATGGAATCTGCAAGCTCCAACAGGCTTGAAGTTGAACACAAAGCATCTTGTTGAAAGCACTATTAGACAGGAACATTAACCTAGAAGAATATGTACAAAATTGTAACAGGAAAATTGGTTTGGATTGATTGTGTGTCTAGATAGGGAATTTCAGTGACTTAACACCATTACTATTTGCACATTCCTGCATTTTATTGTCAAGCAAGAATAGTAGAGCAGCATAACTGCATGTATTTCTTCGCTTAAGAACATGGCAAAGTAATTCAGTTCTGATTTTGTCATTCAAAACACATTTTTAAGCTGCATTTCCATTATTCTGAGTTTACAAAACTGTGAGATTTTCAATAGTATTTTATTTCATATAGGCTGAACATCAGCTAACACATGATGCCACCAAATAGTTTGTTGCTGATTTTGAGGGAAGTGTTATAACTTCATACATGTATTATAACCCCATGTTTCTACTCAGATTTAACATCAAATCATACCCGCTATGATTCATTTGATTTCACATTCTAATATAAATTGTCTTTATAAATGAATATATGAATTGAAAATGGATATTGCAAGAGCACTATTCATTTTAGAATGTTATTTGCATAACCAGAAGTAATAACAAAGCATAATATAATGTTACATATATAAAGTTATATATAGGCAATGCCTATTAAGAGCAATTCTACTCTGGGTATAACTTAGGAGACAAGGTAATAGTGCTCTATTTCAGATTTTGTGCACTAGAATAGCTTTCTGAGATCCCTTACTGATTTTATTGAAGGTCTCAGAGGTGCAACAATCAAAAGATTTACTAGCAAGCTAAACTGCAACAATGCGCCAACACAGAACACTCGATCTAAAAAGCACAGACAGCTATAAGTGAGCTGCTTCTATTTGAGTTAATTTAGCAATGACAAGGCCTTTTAAGAACTGGCATTAGAAATTTAGTGGGGGGGGGTGGAAAAAGGAACCACCAACAAAAATAAAGATGCAGTGCTGGCTGGGATAAAACCCTTTCTTATGAAAATTTGATGTGAAGTCTTGTCTCTAACCCTACATCCTGGCACATGATTCCTCACAAAGCAGGAAGGTCTCTTCTATGCTCTGAGTTTGGGTTTGTTTCAATCATTTTGGTTGCAAGTTTTTTCAGGCAAGAACTGTCAGAGCCTGTTTGGACTCTGATGTTAATGCCATGCAAAGAACAACAAAACACATTTTGCTAGAACTGGGAAGAATACAGCTGCTTCATCCCATTTACACCAGTGATAGAGCTGAACACATTTAGATCACTGGACAGCTTTGAGCTAAGCACCAATTTGTGACATGGAGAGGTGAAAAATATACTGTTGTCAAACTAATCACATGAAAACCTTGTAAACTAACACTGCTGCTTTTGCTAGGAAACACATGAAGAATAAAATCTACTATAATAGTTAAAAGATGATTGGTGATTAAAAGAAGAACTGTGTAAAAACGTTATTATGAACACAATTTTATTTCTCCACTATAAAAAAATAGTAAGGTTATATCAGTGCGATCTCCAACATTCAACTGCTAAATGAAAACAGCATGCTACTGAAGTTCTATATGTGTATATATATATATATATATATATATATATATATATATAAAACAATAAATTATTTGAGATACCTAGGGCTGAAGCCTAATGAGATAGAGTATATCGAACCCTGGGAAAATTCTCCATAATACTATGTTAAGAAAATATTCAATTTATTTACTGTTTATATCATGTTAGATGAACTGGTCAGATTTGGACCAAGATTTTCTGAGACTTAATGGCCACCTATCATTAAACAAATTCTAAATTATTTGTTTTCATGGAAAAAACAAACAAACAAACAAACAAAAAAGAAAATCTGGGGTTTAAGGCTCTTACAAATGTCTCACAAGGAAACACTGCTCAAAGTCCTCATGTACACCAGGAGGATCTGAAGCTTTAGCTCCACATTACTAAAGGTCTTGCTATTCCTCCCTCTCCTTTTACTAACACCCTATCACACAAGAATAGGGAATGTAAAGCATCAGTGAATCTGTCCTAAATCCAACCGTGTCCTGGGGTGCATGCACGAGGCACAGTCAGGCAAAAGAAGCGATTGTCCTGCTCTGCTCTGCATTCCTCTGGCCTAGAGGAATTGTGGCTTTGGGGGGAATGATGCCTTAGGGTTTTAGCTTTTCTACTTTTCAAATTCTGTACTGCTTTAGTGTATAACTCTAAACAGAGAGTTAGCTACTGTCTTCAGATTCTGGTCAGACCAAACAATTTCCCTAGGCCTGAAGCTCAAGGACACCTTACTGTCTCAGACCCCAAAAGTGAGTTGTGAGCAGGGAGCAAACTGAGGGTATATAACTTCATTACCTGAAGCTATAATTGGAGGATTAACCCCTGGTATGTAAATGGATCAAACTTATGTCTGAAAAACTCATGACCATCATCTATCTTGGCTGTAGCCTCTTAGAGGCTTCTGACTGCCCAAGGTGTACCTATTGAAGGTACAATAAATAAGTAATATTTAATAAATACCCGCTTTTACTCTCCTATCTTTGTCTAGCATCTGTTCTAGGTAGCCACTCCAAGGTATCATGCACTGGGCAGCTAAACCTCAAGTCCTGTGTGTGGTTTTGGGCACCATAATACAAAAATGATGCAAAAATATGGGAAAGCATCCAAAGAAGAGATGCAGGGCTAGTGAGAGGCCTTGAGGGGAAGCTGTATGAGGAGCAGCTGAGGTCACCTGGTCTGTGCAGCCTGGAGGAGACTGCAGAGAGACTTCAGTGCAGTTCCACTTTCCTTGGGAGGGGAAGAGGAGGGGCAGGCACTGATCTCTGTTCTCTATGACTGGTGACAGGGCCCAAGGGAATGGCATGAAGCTGTGTCACGGGAGCTTTAGGTCGAATATCAGGAAAAGGTTTTTCACCCAGAGGGTGGTTGGTGTTGGAACAGGCTCCGCAGGGAGGTGGTCACAGCACCAAGTCTGACAGAATTCAGGAAGTTTTTGACAGGACTGTGACGCACATGGAGTGATTCTTGTGTTGATCCTGTGTAGGGCCAGGAGTGGAGTCCCTCCCAACTCAGGATATTTTATGATTCGATGGAATAAGTTTTAGCTATCAATTATTTTTGATGAGAGCTTGTGGGAAAGGAAACTTATTCCCTGGCATCTCATTTTTCTCCACTAGGCATCTTTCTACTGTCTCTTAGACATAGGCAGGGAAAGAGGGAGTTTGTATGCCTGGGTAACACTATCTCTTTGCACAAGTTTCCTTCCTCAGCAGAAGACGGAAGATGTTTCAGGTGATCAGCGTGACAGAGCAAAAAAATTATGCCTTCTGTTATATATCCACTATAATAGCTCCTACATGAATTCATAATTTTTTAAGGGAAGACACCAGATCCCCAAACTGGTATTTCAAGGTACTTGCATCACTTTCAATAGCCTACATATTGCACAGATGTTTACAGCTCACTGCACAGATAATAATATGTGTCAACCTGTATTATTTCCAAAAGGAATTTAATTAATGATAAAGAACTGTACTTCAATACTTAAAAATACTGTTTGCACTCTAATATTCAAGACAGAAAAACTATACAAGAAATAATTAATTGCTATTTCATTCCTATGCTCTCTCTCTAAATATATAAGGGTTATTACACTCAATGCAAACCTGCAGCTGTGTAAATGCTATCAAAACTACTACAGTTTGCTTAATTCATAGAATTATATTTTAGCTTACCCAAATCTGTAGCTTAATTCTTTTTTCATTTTTGAAAACTGTTTTTACTTTGAAATCGATTCCAACCGTGCTTACAAACGCAGATGTAAAGGAATCATCAGCATATCGGAACAAAAATGAGGTTTTTCCAACACTGCTGTTGCCGATAATGAGCAGTTTGAACATGTAATCAAAGTTCTGGTCAGATGTATCTTTCTGGCCATATCTGGAATCTTGAACGGATGCCATCTGTAATTAAAAATAAAAAAGAAATATCTTATTGTCTCTTTTATCATAAAAAATTGAAACGTTTAGATTTTATTGGAGTTTCCATACCAGGTATCAGTGAAGCTCAAGAAGGATATCTTCCTGAAAAATTAGTCATGTGTATGCTTCAATGTGAACTTCAAGAAATTCACAGACATCTAATAATTATTTGTGATTCTTATATCTAGTAGTAGTTCTGGTAGCAAGGACTGGTGACTGGTACCAAAACAAAAAAAAAAAAATTCTAAAAATCCAGACGGTTCTTGGGTATATCTCTAAAAATACTTGTTTTCAGCAAATGTGATGAATAGAAGGTGAAAATGCAATGACACTTCATCAGTATAAAAGAGAAATAAGAGATTAATGCTTCATTTTGACACAGGAGGTGTATTTCCAAACAGAAGCTCAATAAGTTTTACATCTATTAAAATTCTTGAACTAATGCAACATCATCATAAGTGGCAGTTAGAGAAACAGAATATTAAGGTTTGAAAGGGTTGTTAAAGATCATCTAGTCCCAGTCCTGCTGCCAGGGACACCTCCCACTAGACCAGGTTGCTCAAGGCCTTATCTAACTTGGTTTTGAACACCACCAGGGCTGGGGCATCCACAACCTCTCTGGGCAACCTATGCCAGCATCTCATCACCCTCACAGTAAATATTTTTTCCCAATATCTAATCTAAATCTCCCGCTTTCATTGTGTATCCATTCCTCCTTTCCCTGTCACTCCAGTTCCTGTCAGAGAATCCCTCTCCAGATTCCCTTTAGGCCTCTTCAGACACTGGAAGGTGTCTATGAGGTCCCACAAAACTTTCTCTTCTCCAGGCTGAACAGCCCCCCCTTGCTCAGCCTACCTTCATAAGGGGAGGTGCTCCAGTCCTCTTATCAACCTCTTGGCCCTCTTCTGGACTTGCTCTAACAACTCCTTGTCATCATGCTGGGCACCCCAGAGCTGGATGCAGTGCTCCAGGTGGGGTCTGAGCAGAGCAGAGCAGAGCAGCACAATCCCCTCCCTCAATCTGCTGGCCATGTTCCTTTGGATGCAGCCAGGATTCCCTTGGCTTTCTGGGATGGGAGCACTCACTGCTGACTCGTGGTGAGTTTTTCATCAGCCACACCCCCGAGTCCTTCCCCACAGGGCTGCTCTCAATCACTTCTCTGCCCAGCCTGTGGGTGTGTCTGGAATTGTCATGACCCATGTGTAAGACCTTGCACTTGGCTTTGCTGAGGTTTGCAGTGGCCTATCTCCCAAATGTATCAAGGTCCTGCTGGATGACATGAACATTTTGAAATCTGAGTCCTTAAAATACAGTTTTTAATCCATATAAAACACTTGAATAAGCACAAATTACTGAATACAGTTAAAGAGCAACTAATTTTGCTCTAGGGACTTCAAAATGTACACCTTAGGTTTTTATGAAAATTGCAGAGATTTGCATGAAAACCTGACCAAAGTTCTACCTAGGTTGCCTAAAAACAAGTGGCAAAAATAAAGAACTTGGAGTGTTTCAGATGAGTTTTTAAGAAAAATGACCAAGCATTTTGGGAGTCTGTGGAATTTTTTTGAATATGATAATTTTAGGAACAACACTTTTGCATGCTCATTTGAAACAGACAGATGCCATAACCTAACATAAAGACTTACAGAAAAGCAGCTCATATGAAAGCTTTCTAATTTAGGCATCTCAGAATGCATTTGGACAATCAGAAAGGACAACTGAAACCAGGGTGACAGCTGTGCACTAACACACACTCTCAACATTTTAGGTACTGTATAATTGTTTTAGATAATTCTGCTATCTCATAGCATTAAAAACATTATGCCAGCTTCTCTGGGCTACTGAAGAAGAATGTAGGAGTGGTGACCAAAAGTTCTGTATAGGACATTGAAAGTAGCAAGTTTTTAATAGAAAATTCAGTGTCAGATTTATATTTCATAAATTACACAGTAGGGAATGTTTGATTTCAGAATTTTATTTCAGAACTACCTTCTTAATTAAACGTAGTATTGGGTACCTACACACTAGCAACCTGAGTGTTTGCATTGGCCTTAATATTTATTCACTTCTTCCACAGGTATGCAACAAAGAAGCTTTAGAATAAAAACCTAAATGTTGCCAAGCATACACATTACTATTTACTTCAGCTTTATTATTCTACACAAAAGACAGAAACTTTCATTACTGTCCCGTATGGTATAACTATTTGGGGATATTTTGCTTAGAACACGAGAAAAAGGAAATCAAATATTGATTAAACAAGTCTACTCACAAGTCTGTATAAAGCAGTATAACACAGGGCATTCTGATATTGCGTAGAGTTTGCAACAAGAGGTCAGTGATGTATATTAGACCAAAGACTGCAGTGGCTATGGCTGCTAGATGTGTGACCATCGTGTGTTGCTACAGCAGCCTGTTCAACAGCCCTGGCTCCCCTCTGTTGTATTAGCTGAAAGCAGAAGTTACCCCTTGTAGCAAGGAGGAATATCATATTCTTTCCTGATTTTATCTCCTAGGAGGCCTTTCACATAGCTTCTTCAACCAGCTAAGATTTACAAAAAGAGGTTTAAGCTTTCATCCATTTGCAGCCCTGAGTTCTGTGAAGCTTCCGACTCATCCCCATGTACTTTAATGCCTAACACTAACACTATGATTCAGAGCAGAGCAGAGAAATCAGGAGACCTGGATTCTAATAATAGTCCTGCTAGACCACGTACATTGTGTAGCCTTCCTGAGTAATAATGTGTTTCCTGTGGATAGTTTTAAATACGGACTTTACCGACAGATATTTCAGTGCTCCTCTATATTAGCGAGGTTATATGCATTACTCATGCAGCAGTTTTCTTAACATTTCTGGAAAAAAAAACTAAAAACCCCAATACCTTCACTGTGCTGTAAACTTACTTTTTACTTGCAGTATCATTGGCAGAATTACAAGCATGTTGAACACAGAATTGAAGGTATTTTTACTTTGGGGACGAGAGTATGTCTACAGGAGGCAAAAGGCATAGGAAAGGAATATGAAAGGACTGATTTTTCCAAAAGGATTAGTGAGCTAATAATTTAAACTCTTTGGAGAGACTAACTTTAGCCTAGTGAGCCAGTCTCCCTAGGCTACTGATAGTGATCCTTTCTCCTGACAAAACCCAAATAAGCCTACTCTAGTGTAAAGAGATATCAAACTCCACACAGTTGCTAAGACTTTGCCATTACTTCCCAAATTCGCTCCTTCTGCAGTAAGCAAAGAGACAAGTTCTTCAAAGCACAATCCATACTATGCTCACAACCTAAATGGTACCCTAAAGGAATATCTGTATTTCTGCTGACTGTAAGGGAAATATATATGCTTGGTCCTCTTGAACTTTTTGAATAAACCTATAGTGCTTCTCTTTCTTAAATGTAAGCTTCTGACTTAAAAATTAAGTATTGAATTCACTTCCTGAAGTGTTGAATGTACTTCCTGAGGTAATAATATGTTGGTTCACTCCTGACCCTACTTGTCTCTACTATTGGAGGCATTTGTAAAATATGAAGAATATCGTGATGATGTTATGTACCGCCTTTGGATATTATGTTGGAAGCAATCACTAGGAATGCTGTGTTCCCACCTGTAATTAAACACTACATACACGAATGAGAACTGAATAAACCTCACTAATGCTATGATAGTCTGTTTCCAATAAAGTAAAATGCATACCTTTATTTTGACAAAGTTCTTTTCTTAAAGGTTAAATGGATATATTAAACGAGTATCACTTTCAACAAAACACACTGAGTTTTCAGTACAATTTTGCCATTATTTAGCAAAATTGAAGATAAAATGTACAGGGTTATTTTCATTAGCACCAAAAGCAGTTTCAAGCCATTTCCTAGAGTACTTAGGACAGACTTGAGAGTCAACTGAGAAGTCTAAACTCAAGACAATGAACAGAAGACCTATAGACACGCTTACTCCTTATCAAAGCCAGGAAGAGTTATGTTGCCAGTTAGAGTAAGGTGCAAGGACAAATATAGGATAGCTTTGTATGCTTCCCTGCTTACAGCACGTCTCTAAATTCCTTAAATATGGATTATTTAAGAGCATAGGCAAGTTTAATCATTAAGCAGAATTTTCTGTTCAGATCCAGGTGCTTTCCAAGTCTCATGTTTAGCTGTTTCCTTGATCCCAAAACAAGAGATGAAAATAGAGCAGGGTTGAGAACAAATATCAGAAAAATTGTGTTTACCTGCCACCTTCATGATCATAACAAAACATTTGGCTATGTGACTCCCTATGCCTTGGCAGGCTTCATTCTTGGACAGAATCAACTGGAACAGCTTTCTTACTTCAGCAGCAAAGGATGCTGTGACCTCCCTGGCCTGCACACTAGTTTGCACGTATATATGCACTCTACCCTGCATGCTTAGTGTAGGATGATTTGCCCCTGGAAAATATGGTACAAAAGGCAAGAAAACCTGACATTGAAAACACTGAGATTCATTCTTTCACACCTTTAGCAAATATGTTGTTTTCTTTTAAAAACTCTAATAACAGTCATGTCTTAAAGGAAAAGATCAACAGTAAGTCTAGAGAAAATGTCTTGCTTCTATGTACAGTAAGGATAGATAGAGACTGATTAGCGAACTTAAAGTTGTTTCAAAATGCAACACTTTCTGTCTAGTGTTGTTACAGCCTGCCCCTGAAAGTGGGGTAACAGGTCCTTTTAAATAAATCACTTTGCTCAGATTAGAGTGAAACAGCACTGACTGACCAGTGTTTGTACATACATAGATGCAGTGGAAAGATAAATGGTTCTTTCCTATATACAGGGTAGAAATATACACACTTCTATTTCCTTCTATACAGTAGCAGAGTTTCCTGCATATGCAGCCTTTTGTGAGGTGAACTTTCTGTCTTTTGTAAAATGTAATTCATAAAACATAATCAATGGAAATTGAAACAATGGAATACAGTGGAAAAATTCAATGTCTGTAACTTACCAAACTGTATGTAGGATGTGCAGGTGAGTGACACTCACTGCACATAGTTGTGTTTCACGTGTAGATCAACTTACTTCATCAGAGTAGTTAAAATGTTACCAAAATCCTTATGTATAAGAACACTGTGACAAATAACCTAGTCATGAAGAAAATAATTACTTTTAAGGTGAAATATCAGACTAATCTAGGGACTGGATTTTAATCTTAACTCTTTCAGAGGCATCCTGTGACTTTTGTTTTCTTTTCTACGTCTCGGGCAAGCTGCTTACTCTGTTGTATTTTTGGTGTGATCTTAACAAATACATTGATATCCACAGATGCAGATCACAGCCAATTCTCACAAATCTTTATCATTTATTTTTGAACCAATTAATAAGAATTAACAGGGTTCAGTAGACAATGCACTGGCCACTTATTTGGAATTTACTGATTGCCAGCCATCTGCAGAGCACAGCTTGTAAACTAATGTACTTGGCAGCATCAGGAAAAGCTTATCTGCTTCAAGGTATTATGAGGTCAGAATAATGTATATGTGTAAATGTACACAATTAGAAACACGTGGTTAGAAATGCAAAGGGTTATTTTAAGCAGAACACTGAAAGGCGAAGTTGGGGAATACCAAGAAGATATTGAGATGTTAGGTCTAAAACACTTCAGAGAAGCTCTACTTGCTTCATATCAGCAAAACTAGCATGAATAGGGTAACACTGCCAGGAGCTGCTCAGACAGTAGAATGTAAGGTGAGTAAAAAGCAGTTATGGAAGGCTCTAACAACTAGATTCTAGTAGTTAGCTAGCGAATTATCCCTCACTTATCTTTCTTTAACCTAAATTTACTTTGTCTGTGAAAAGGGTACCTCAGGAAGCGTATTTCTAATTTCCACTCTAGGCAGAATGTAAAAAAACCCCATCTTCAAATAGTGGCAAAACCAGAGATACAATCCTAAGTGGGTTACTATAACACAGGATGTTAGGAGACCATCAAAATAGTGCAGCTATGAAAAGAAAAAATAAAAGCTGTGTTAGCCCAGGTACTCAAGAATAAATAAATTTATATTTACCAGGGAATATGAAAGAATGAAAATGAGATGGCTAAAGCCTTCTGCCATTTACTCTATTTAATGCAGCACTTAGGGTCATGAGACCAGGAAAGACTGTGTAGCTTTTTGTTTGCCAGAGAAACTGCATCAGGCTAAGAGACTAAGCGAAATACTAATGCCACTGTCTAGGGCACTGGTGAGACAGTATTAGTGACAATTCTGACCAAGTGTGTTTATGAAAGCCAAGTTCAAATGGGAAAACACACAGAAAGGTTAACAGGAAGATTAGAAGAAAGAGCTTATCTAATGACAGAATTAAAAACGAAACAAAACAAAACCAAACAAAAACACAGTAACCAAAACATGAGCTTGTTTCTCTGGATAATAATCTGGTCATGATGCAATGAGAACTATTTAGACTGACATATACTGGAGCAGACACTGGACGTAATCAATAGTATAAACTATTGAGTACCTCTGAGCTGGAGGTTAATAAGTATCTAACCAGCAAGGGAACAAGCTTCCACAGTACACTTCCAAAAAGGAGGAGTGACAGAAGGAGGACTATAGACTCCAGATGTAGCCAGATCAAGGTGTATGTAAGTTTCTCCGTGGACTTAGTGGCTTGGCAAATTCTTGTATGCCAGTGCTTCTACTATGAACTAACACTGACATATCTAATGATTTTGCTGAGCAATAGGAGCTGAATTGTCATGCAAACTCTTCTATCTAATAGCTTTTATTGGCCTTTTTTCATCATAATTTTATAATAACTTCTTAAATATCTGTAAGCAGCATTTTGGTTTGTAATTGCCCCTCATCATTGTGTTTGGATGTGTTGACTATAAATGTACCTTGTCTAGACATACCTATTGCAAGTGACAACAGGATATGAAAAACTAAAGAAATTTTTTTAAATTTCTTTCCTTGGCAAAGGAGATAATTTACAAATTATCTCCCACTTCCTAGTTTCTTCTCCCCTCAGCCGTCTTCAAAATGATCTGATGTCCTGGCAAATGCAAGAGTGTTTCTCTAGCATTCTCTACAATCTGCCACCGTTAAAGTCCATATGACCTAATAAACACTAAAAACACATTATCCAAACTCCAGTTCTTTTTGTATTTTGGCAAAGTGCAGGTATGTGGAAGATCTGTGTGCTACAATCAGACAAAGAATAGAAGTGAGTGAATTGGTGCATGAATATCTGAAAATTTCCCACTGAACCTGCACTTTTCAAAGTATCATGAAATCCTTAGGGACATTACTGAGAAAGATACATGGATATCTCAAGTAATTCAGACCAATTCTTAAAATAATATGCAGAAACCATAAAGAATTCAGTGTTTCACAGAAAAGAAAGTTCATTGCTTTTAAACTAAAAACTCCTCCACAGCCATAAGCATTCCTTATGAACAGACTTATATCTGTTCTTTAAAAGCATGGCTAAAGAAATGAAAAATTGTCACAAACTGTGATCCAAATGCAGCAGATGACAGCAACAAACTTTTTCACTGGACAAGTCTTTCCTGAAAGGACTATTTTTCTGGTAATTGTTGGCCCTTCCTGACTTCAGAGAAATGACATGAACTTGAGATTGAAACAAAGAACTCACAAACACAGAAAGATGGCGACAGTGCTCAGGCCCTTTTTTCATCCTGCTAAACTCTTTTAACATATTACTTTTCTTTTAAATTATTGCTTGATGGAAATATAAAACAATGTGCTTACACTCTCCTCTGAGTTGTTTTGATGTGATCAAAAGACATACACTTGATCACTTTCTCTTGCTCTACAATTCAGAGATGGTAGTTCTGTAACAGACTGTTGCAAATTGCTGTGTGCAAAACAACTACATTCGTTTCATGCAATAGGAAATCACATAGCTGAAGAAAGTAAATCTAGCAGTTAGTTCAGCCAATCTAAACCCTATCTGAAAAAGGTTCAACTGTATAAGACTAATGTTGGGGGAAAAAAGGATTCTGCAGAAGAACCCACACCAGAAAACTGTTTTACTGGAATCAGTAATAGAAATAATATATGGGTATAATGGGAATAATGTAAGTAGAAGAAAAAAACCCAAAAATTACAGAAACTACAACTGAAAATCAGTCTGTGTGCCAGACTTCATTTTCACATTTTGGAAAAATCCAGATGCATATGATTATAATTTTGAATGTGATATGCTTAAAAATAGACATTGTTTGACCATGTCAGCAGTCCTGAAAATATGGAATTTATTGGGGGTTTATAGCTTTCTGCTGCCTCTTTTTATTCTGAGGATGCATTTCTGCTGACTTTTACTCAATTATGTTCAACAATAATTCTATTTGTTCTGACGATCTCAAAAAAACCCAAGAATCTGTTCTCTGATTGATGAGTAAAATTTTCTTTTTTTTAAAATATCTGAACTCTCCTCTCTTTATATTCTGTTTTTGATGTCGTACTACCATTTTGTTTCCACAACTATTGAAAAACTTTGGAGAATCTGACAACCTGTCAAAAATGTCAAAAATAGTAGAGACCAATCTACAATTGTCATCCTTTATTAACAAAATTACCTTTAATGAAAAGTTCTCCAAAGCCAATATATACTAAATGTGTCTTCGGTAGATCAATAAACGTGTAAAAATGGAAAATATGACATAAACATTTCTGATGCATACATGTAGCAGGCAAAAGGTTGCAGATCTACCCTTAGCCTGAAATTTTATTACTGCCAGGGTAGATATCCAGCTTGAAAAACATTAGCTAACAGGGCTTCAGTTCATAACTTAAATCACAACAGACTGCAAAAGTGCTCTTTGTACTTGATCATAAAATGATTGTTAGCAATCCACTTCTCTACTGAAAAAGAGTTATATATTCAAATGTATAGTATGGGGGCTCCAGAGTTCCTGCATGGGATTACAAAACAGGACACAATTAACAATTGAATACAGTTCACCAGCAAAAAATGTTTTGAGATAACAACCCAGAAACTGCTAAAAACTCTGCATAATGTAACTTGTATCTGTCTAGCACCTGCTGATCCAGCGCTAAGGGGTATTACATCTTTCCATACATACAAACCGCTGAAAATGGGCCCCTTTCTGCTAGCCCCAGCTCTGGCCACGAGCCACCTCTCCCCGGTGCAGGTGGACAGCTGCTCCACGGCTGCACAGCTGGAGGCGTCACGCCAGCTTCCTGCGCACTTCGGTAGGACCTCGGTCCAGGTCCCACCAACACCATCACCCAACACCGGACAGACAGTCACCCTCAGGAGAACTGCGGCCGGCGCTCGAGGGGCAGCATCTGAACAACACCGCTCGATGTGCCCCAGAGTGGCTCGAAACCCACCCGCTGTCCCTCGAGGGGCCCTGCCTCCCGGGGACACGACCCCTCTCACACGCCCCGGGCCCTACACGCCAGGGGTATCCTCACCCTAAGCCCTCAGCAGCAGAGCCGGCCCGGCGGCCCGGGCGGAGGGGCTCCTGCCCCGTCCCGGCTCTCGGCTACACCGCGCCCGCCGCACCCCTCGCCCGGCTCGGGCCTGGGCACCGACCTGCATGGGCGCTTCGTGCCTCATCGCTGGGCGCGGCCTCGCCGCCCGCCCGCTGCCGCTCGCTCCCGAACGCCGACACCCGCCGCCGCCGCCCGGGCTTTGCCGGCAAACCCGCGCCGAGATCAGCACCGGAGCTGTCCCCGCTCCGCCCCCGGCCCGCCCCGCCCTCCCTCCCGTGCGCTTTCGGGAATGGTAGTCCGGCTGCCAGTGTTCCCCGCCCTCGGCTCTGGGAGAAGGGACTACAGCTCCCGGGGTGCTCGGCGCCAGGCAGCGAGTGGGCGGGCCCGAGCTCTCGGCCCGGCGGGCGCGGAGCTCCGCGATCCCGTCTCGGGGCCGCAGAGGGCGGCGGGACCGGGAGTGGGGGCGCCGCGGTGGGGGCGGGGGTGTGGCTCGCTGTGCCCGTGCTGAGGCGGAAAGGGAAAACGGAGCGGGCGAAGCAGGCACCTCCGGCTCGGCGGATGCGCTGCCCTCCCTGCCAGCCCGCCCTGAGCCCGAGGAGCAGCGCCGGCCGGGGGAGCGCGGGCAGCGCTCACAGGGCTGGGGGGCCGCTCGGTGGAGCGGAGCGAGCTCTGCCGGGCCTGGGCGCGGCGCCGCACAGCGCCCTCTGCGGGCAGGGGGACAGCGACACCGGCAGGCTCCGCTCTGCGGCCGCTCCCGCCCCGTTATCCCGCTCCCGTCTTTTTACACCGCTCCCGCCCCGTTATCCCGCTCCCGCATTCGGGCTGGTCCCGTTCTCACGGCCGCGCCCCGTGGCCCACAGCCAGCGCTGGCCACGGGCAGCCGAGCGCCTTTCATATTGAGGACTGCTGGTCAGTGTCCTTGCTGTGCACAATGACGATCCCTGGGCTGTCTCCTCCTCGCATCCCCTGTCCAGCTTGCTTTTGCCTCGCTTGGCTTTTGCCCGATCGCTGGCAAACAGGGTCGGGCAGCTCCGTGTCGTGAAGCAGTGCCATGGCCACAGCCCCGCGTGGACATGGGGACATCGCTCCTGGGTGGTGGCAGCCGTTCTTGATGTCCGTACTGAGGTCATGATGAGGTAGTGCTTAGTCATCCACGAAGATGTTTTAAATGTCTGTCCCAGCACTTTTTGCATAACACCATCGTCTAATGCAGAGTCCATATTTACCTTGGGCCAAAATGGACGGGTCCATAGAGGGTAGAAAAATGAATAAAGCGTGTTGGAACCAGATTTAAGATTCAGTAAGTCCTGCTCTAATGAAAGGGTGAAGGTGAGCCGTGGGTGACTCTGGGGATGTCTGCCCAAGGTTTAAGAGCTGGACACATCCCAGGCAGAGGAAAGGGCAGGAGAAGGCAGCAATGGTGGCTGAGGCAGAGTGGAAACAGCAATTTGCCCTGTTGGTCACTTTACATAAGTGATATACATTGCATGAAGTGAGGCATCCATAGCAGCTGGGACACCAACAAATTGTGTCATAGAGACATGAATATGAATTAAAGTGTATGCCAGAAGAAATTTAGCTTTGCAATTTTTAAATTTCATTTGCAGCTGTTTATACCTACCCCTCTATACTACAAAGAGATGAAGTAAATATTTTTCAAAGACATGGTGCATTTTTTGGAGGTCACCCTTCTTTCCTGCTTGAAACACAGAACATTGTTCTCTCTACCATTGTAGGTATCTTGATTTTGCTCAGCATTTTAGACCCACTTGCATGGGTGCTAATAGCCACCTTTGGGTTTTCATAATGTCTACAATTTAATTTTACTACTGATTTTAGGTGAATACCTACCAAAAATCATGAGTAACAACTCATTTCCCCCTGAAAACAGGGTATATTATATGTGTTATCAATTGCAGTTAGGGAAAAAACAGAGAGTTTTTTTCTCCTATGAAAGCTTTGTTTCATGGGGTTTTGGTTTTAGAAAGTATTATAAATATATCACATAATCCTGAATATATATTAAACTACAGTTTTTCATAAAGTGGAAATGTCGCTTTAAATCCTAGCTGAATAGGTATTTGAAACAGTAGATTCAAGTATTCAGAGAAGTTTTTGATTATGGAATTTATGGATTTACTAATCCATTTACTATGCATTTACTATTATATTGAAGTTTTAAAGTAGATTTACTGCAGATACATTAGGAATTTAGGACTTAGATCATGCCAGGTTCCCAAATTTATCCCAAGACAAACATCCTCCACAGCTTTCAATTATATTTGTATTTATCTTAGCGTTGAAGTCTTGAAGCAGTCACTCCTAAATTCTCCATACAGGCAACTATTAATGGACAGTAAAGCTGTGTTACTTATACATTATCATATGTCCTTTTGTAAAGCATGGAGTTTATTTTCTTCTAGTGAAAAAGTTAAAGTAAACTGATATATGCATAAACAATACTTTTATTTTTCTTTCTTTAATTTTAAATTTCATTAAAATACACAAATAACACTGACTTTGTAGAATCATAGAGTGGTTTGTGGTGGAAGTGGTCATGTGGTACTAACTCCCCTGCTTTGAGCAGGGACTCCACCCCCTAGACCAGGTTACTCAGAGCTCCATCCAGCCTTGCATCATTTTGCATTTTGTGTTGGTTGAAGAGATGATACTGGGATAATATTTTATTACTCCGTTTTTGTCTCTTTGTTGTCTGGCAGGAACTTATCTTTTTCTTTCTGTCTTCTTCAGAGGCTTTTGAAGACTGTACCAGAGAGAAATAGACCAAATGAAATAGTATAGTACTAGACACAAGCAAGCTTTTGTACCTCAAGCCTAGTAGTTCAGTGTCTTGCTGTGATGATACTCCTCAATACTCTTGTGCACAGAGCACTGTGTTCATGGATCAACTTTTTCTGTTGATTAATAATCACTGGGTCACAATATGTTAATATTTTTGAAGCACGGTGTACTTGAAATTCACTTTTAAACATGATTTCTTTGAACTAGGTATTTTCACCAGGTGAAAACTTTTACAGGGGATCCAGTTTAGTAAAATACCTTATTCTTTAAATGAGATGTAGTAGTACAAACACCGAGAAGTCACGAACATCAATTCAGACTTTCGGGTGTATTGATTATACTACCTCCTTTACATTTGTTTTCTTACTCTCACAGGAATTATTTTTTTCCCCCATACCAAACAGGATTCACAGAACAAATTGGTTATTATTTGCTACTTGAAACTAAAGAGAAGTATTAGTTTTCCTTAGGTTATGGAAAAAAGTCATTCAAATAACATACGTCATCACAAAAGCTAACTCAGAATGAACATGCTGCTTATAAGGATAGTTCATGCAGTCAATCTGACTTATGTAGATGTAGAACAGTGTGATTTTAGGACATCTTTTAATCTTTGTAACACAGGGGTTTTTTTGCCCAAAACAATTTTCTACAGCACATGGAAGATAAACAATAACTTTCAGAGCTGCATATGAAATCTAATAAAACTTGTAATAATAAAGGCGACAGGAGGCAGCTGGTTTGTAACCAAGTGAGTTGTTTTGAATGCGTGAACTCTGAAACGATGGAGACATTAACAAAGCTGTTTCTCAGTTTTGCACTAGAGGTCTACATAAGTAAAGATAACACAGATGCAGTGTATCTTCAATATATATCCAATGCATGTATTGGGGGAAAATATTCTCTGTGCTTTCAAAACTTTCAAAGTGTAGTCCATGCTGTAATATTAGCAAATAAGTAAGATTCAGAAGTAGAAGAAATCTGAGTTAATATGGAGAATACTAAGGTAAAGACGGTTAACTAAGTATCATAGTTAATTTCTTGTAATTCTTAGATCAATATACAAATGCTTTCAATTTTAGATTTAAGAAAATAAAGGTTCTTATTAGGTACATAATTCTAGCCATTATGAAAGATCAATACCACTTGACAATGTTTTCTGTCATGTTCTCTTTCATAAGGTCAAATAGCTTTCTTTTTTTCCCCTGAGCTTTTAGAAAACAGTATTTCTTTTACTCCAGCATGCCATTTGACTTATCCCGGGATTGGACTTTGGATGCAGAGAACAGAAGAACGGGAGTCACATGTATTTCACAAAGCAAGTTCAGTCTGTCATGTTTTCAAATCTGGCTTATCATTGTAAAATGTACATGTTGAGGTATGCCTTCTTTAGATATTTCTTTTCTAAAAAAGTAAGAGATCTTTTGACTAGGTAGACAGGAAATGTAGAGAGCAAGAAAATAGTGATTAGAGATCTCAGGAATGTTTCTTTCCATTTTTAAACATTATTTCATCAAGAAGGCAGGCATAAATTAACAAAATACGAACTGAAATAAAGCTAGAAATTGATAGTGGATTTGGCACTGAGACAAGATCTGTCTCAAGCACAGATCTCCAATACGCAGCCATTGAAAATAAAACTCTATGGGGAGTTCTTGTCAGGCTAGAAGACAGACAAAGTACATAGAATCTTGTCATGGGGTAAAGCATGTTGTATTTGCAACAGATGAAAATTCTTCACTGCTGTATAGATACTTGGGTTTGTTACCTTGGCAGATTCTGCAAATCCTTAAAGTCCCAACAGACCAGGCTCACACGTCAGGCGGCATGACAGCACACTGCTGATGCATGAACTGGAGATGCCACAATAGGGAATGAGGAAGCACTTGCTAAAAGAACAAGTCTGATGCTCATCACATGAGACTTGACAGGCCTGCATTACAATGAAAGACAAGCAAACAGTTCTGTCAGGGATGGTTTTTATTTTTTCTTTCTTCTGATTCTCAGAACAGAAGATACTGCTGGTCTATTCACTATTAAACTTTGCAACCACTAGAACTGTAACACAGAACTGAAATGCAGCTTTTCATCTTGTGGATAAAGGACCAGCATAAATCACCTCAGTTTTGCTGTTGATGGAAAAGAGCATTGGGTTAATCTGGCTTTGCACTGTTGTTGCCATGGCTACTGGGTCACAGCACCACATGCACCATCGCATTTCATGCATCCTCATAGTGTATATGCAATGGTTTCATTGCTGTGTAGAAAAGGGAGAACTTGTGCTTTTCACTTTCTATTGCACAGCACCGTGATCTTGTCTGCACTAAGTCACTCGGGTCTGTGGAGATCAAAC